GTTGTTACATAAGAATATGATGTTTATGTATGGTAGTTACAATACGGAAACATTTTGTCTTGTCATTCAAATACAATATATCGTATTGTATGTTATAGAGCCTACTGTATACGAATGGTTTATACAAAAAAAGCAATGGTTTATTTTTATCCGGGTCTGTACCGACGCAAAGGTCGGTATAAAGGGAGAGAATGCAAACTTAGTATAAAAATGGTTTATGCGTGCCATAGTATAAAATCGAAATATACTTACAATGCATAGATACGGTTTATTCGAGAGAATGTATTTTTCGCTTCTTTATTTGATTTATGGTAAATATTATTGATTTCAAATAAAAATAAAAATTGTCTCAGGAAGCTTTTTTAATTAGTTTATTTTTTATGAATATTATTTAAAAAAAATACTTACAATTCCAATGCTGCCCAGTAGATCACAGGCGCAGTAGAAATCCCCAGGGACAAAGCTCTTCACCAGCACGAAGCTCCAAAGGGAAGCCAGATGTTCTGTTTCCTATCATTTTAGTAAACACTGATCGAATTCCACTCCGTTATTCGGACTTAGTATAATTCTGACGAAAATTTTAATCGAACCAATGTATAAATTTTGAAAAACCATAAAATGCATAAAATTTAATCTATACTCGTTTTGTAATATTTTTGAGTGTACATATCACACCCGCAGACGGCGGGAAAAATTGCTGACCACGAAATCAGGGAGTGAGTTGGTTTTAACGTTTGAAATAGAACGACTAACTAGACCAACCGGTGCGTACGCGCAGAGTTTGATCTATTTTGGCATGATCTTTTTCATTTTAGCTGGTTCAAATGTGATATAAATTTGGATCTAGATCTGACCACCGCTAAAGCTGCCCTGATATATCAGATATATACACGCAGAAAAATTTACCGTCGAAACAAGAATATTTGAGGTAAATTTAAACGTAAACTCAGTTTGTTCTGGCCACAAACATAAACTAGGTTGATTTCAAACGTATTCTATGTTTGAATTCATTGATAATAATGTTTAAAACAAAAATAATGTTACGTTTATTTTAAAAATATTCGTGTTGAAAATAAACGTGAATATTTTTGATTTATTTGAAAACTATATGCGATCAAAAATTAATATGTTTATTTTAAACATGCTTTTCATGTTTAAAATAAACAAACATATTTTGAAATTATTTGGCATTTGAATGCTGAATAAATCAAAATAAAATTGATAGCAAATAAATAGAAATTTCTGCTATTATGGAAAGTCTGTGGATGTTTGGATCCGGGGGGCCGTCGGGGTGGGTGTCCGATCAGATCCAGTTCAGTAAAACCGGTGAAACTTTGTGATATTAGCGTCATTTTTCGTTTCTGACGCTGGTCCTCATACCGGCCTCTTTCTAAGTTTAGTGTTCGGGGATGATCTGCTTTTCTTTCGACGTCGGGTGGGGGGTGAGGATGATATGGGGATCAGCATCAGAAACGACGGATTGACGTTAATATTGTGATGTTCCACCGGTTTTGTCGAGCTTGGAGCACTTGCTTGCGTTGGTTTCCGGACCCTCTACTTTGGTTTCGCCGCTTGCAGGCCGTTTTCGGTTAAGTTTGCCGAATGTAAACAAGAAGGAAAAAAGGACACGCTAAAAATTGATTACCCAGATTATGTATTGTTGAAATAAACATGCTTTTGAATTTAATTTAAACATACATATTTTTGTTGAAAACATGTTTTTAATTTACTTTGAACTATTCATATTTTTATTTAATAAACATATATATTTTTAACTTAAATGAAGAAAATTTGGTTCCGTGTAGATCGAAATTCTATCCGCCAGACTATGAATATAGCGACTATACTATCGACCCATCCAGTATTTTACGATTGCTTATGGCCACCACAATCTGGCTGAGTTTCTGGTAGGGAACATAAGATTTGAAGTTGGACTTGTGTCGTTTGACGTGTAAACGTTCAAATTTGAACGTTTACACGTCAAACGACACAACCCAAACGTCAAATCATATGTTCCCTACCAAAAACTATGTCAGATTGTGGCGGCCATAAGCGCTCGTAAAATGCTGGATAAACTCATTGGACCACACGCTATTTCAAAACTACCCAAATTTGGGTAGAATCCACCCAGATCGGTCAAAACTGAACCTACACTCAAAGGATTTTCAAATCTTAATAGATTAAAAGTTACGCTAAATCGCAACTCTCCTTACCGACGCATAGCATGGTATAAAGAGAGAGAGAATACTAACTTAGTATAAAACTGGTTTATACATTGGATAATATAAAATGGAGGCATGCTTCATATGTATATTATGTGTTTATACGCCAGATTCGATTGTTTTTCAGTTTCATGTGGTTTGTTATGGTTGAAAAACATAAACAAAAAGCTGGAGAGAGTGAACCGTATGGAGATACGTTTTTATTTTACACAGTACATCCGGTTCGATGTCAATTATACAAGGTCTGGCCCAACCGGCTTATTGGTATTAGTGAAATGTGGAAATGTTTAGTGGTGTTCGTATTTCATCGCAATGTTTATCTTTTTACACGAAACAGCTGTTTTCTGTGACGACACGTCTACCATTCGCAGTATGGAATGTTGTGCTGCCGTGACATCGTCATTCGCTTGTTCAGCAATGTTTACAACATTTTTGCTTCTAACACCACCAAGCTGCCTGTTGTTCCAAACCTTGTATGATTGACATAGCATCCGGTTCAGGATTTTTCGCTTCATCGATTTTGTGGCGACGGCAGTTCGGTTCCCTCCAGTACGATCGCTGCTAAAGGATGTCGATGGAAGTCCAAAAATACCTGATATGATAATCAAACATTTTGAACCAGACTCACCACCACAGCATATTCTCACCTTTCTCGATTCCCTCACCGGAACTCTTTTTTGTTCTCGATATCCCCATAATCCGTTCCAGTTCCGACTCATCGTTGATCAGCGGCAAAAGCATGGAACCCCACATCGACAGTGATTCACCTTAATTAGTCGCACTCCAAAGCAAAGATGAATGACCAATGTTCTGCAAAATACTCGTACCTATAATACCTCCGATGATCTTGTGCTGTGGATAGCCAAACATTAGCATCTAAAATTATGGTGCTGCATTTAAATAATGTTTCATAAACACTTACTGCAGTTTTTTTCCACTTAAAGTTCGCATAAAAATACTTGTTTGAGGCGGTTTATTTCGACCGCCGACCAAAACAGAGAAACGAATTGTTATGCATAATCATGAACTATGACATGTTATTCATACTCATGCATAAAAACAAACCTGGAATAGATTACTTTTTAATCAAAGCTGTGAATAAACAAAGCCAAATAAAATAAAGATTAAATTTTAATCTATTTTCGATTAGTAGTACTTTTGAGTGTACACAAAAATGGGTAAACTGTGTTGGGAGTTAACAATTTGACAAATGAACAACATCGACAAGAATCCGATCGACGTTGTTAATTTGTCAACTTATCACTCCCAACATAGTTTACCCATTTTTGGGTAGGGTAGGTTCAGTTTTGACAGATCTGGGTGGAAAATCCTGGCGGCGCCACTGGGATTGAACCCGGGCCTTCCCTAATAAAAATTGTATGTTTAATTTGCTTAACGACGTGTTATGGGTATCATCCAAACCATTTGTGGAATAGTTCAATGATTTGGGTTATCGTTCGTTTATGGTTATTTTTTATTAGGGTTTTGGGGTGAGAGGCAATCACGCTTACCACTACACCCCCGGCGTCGCTAAAACGCTGTCCAGACTGGAGAGTTATAACATAGAGGTAACTCTAAGACCACTGGGTCCCGAAGAAAATCATTATTATTTTTGGCTCACTCAGTACCAGAACAACGGTCCCAAGCAGTCCCAAGCTATTTCACTCACCCCTGCATGTTCTGCATGAATCCACACACCCCTGATGTTATCTGTCAAACTTTCATAGCGAATCAAAACAAACATAGTGTAGTAATAGAATTTCAACTAGAATAGGGTACGTTAATCGTTTGCTTGGGACCAATAGGCTACTAAAGTGGTGAGCCAATTTAAAATCGTTAGTTTCGTATTGATTGTTGGTTATAACATGTTATAACGGTTGTCAAATAATTGCAACACAGAAACCACCCTCAAGATAGCGCTATAACATGTTATAACTCTGTAGTCTGAACGTACTATAATAGTACGGTCAGACTACAGAGTTATAACATGTTATAGCGCTATCTTGATGGTGGTTTCTGTGTTGCAATTATTTGACAACCGTTATAACATGTTATAACTCTCCAGTCTGGAGAGCGTTTAAGGGTAAACTAGAAATACTCAGAATGTTTTGAATCAAATGAACTGTCAAAATCTGCGCCAATCGAACATTTCAATTAGAATTTTCATGAGGATTTGTTATTCTTACTAGAACAAATATGAGAGTATTGCAAACGAACAGAAATTCAATAACCGTATGTTTTGTGTGCTTCTCAAATTCAACTAGTTTTTGGAACCAAAAACAATATTCTAACTCTATTGATTGATTGATCTTCGTTGGTTAATGAATGGCACCAAGAAATGTGCAAAATATTGCAGATCGCGGGGGGAAAAGTGCGGTTTTAGTGCAAATTGTAAACAAATTCGGTCGCTGTCCCATACGAAAATCCAACATGGCTGAATCATGAATTTGACACATTAGAACACCTATTTGTAGTCACCTTGGACATGAATCCAATCGACTTTGTTCATTTGTCAACTACTTGTCACTCCGAACAAAGTTTACCCATTTTTGGGTAGGTTCAGTTATGACCGATCTGCGTGGATTCCACCCAAATTTTGGTAATTTTGAAATAGCGTGCAAGTTCCAACCCGTGTGAACCCGAGCTTATTGTCAGTGTGAACCACAACTCGAGCCAGGGTTACAAAAACAAACGTTCATACTGACGTTTGACAGACAACAAGCAGGCCCAATCTTGATACCCGATCCAGGTTGAAACTGAATAAAAAAAAATCGCTATAAATAATCTGGCTGGACGGGCAGACGGTGATCAGTTTTTTTTTCCGTTTTTTCGCGTTTCTTGCAATTTTTCAGTGAACTTACGATTTTCATTACCATTTTTTTTTCTAAATTACCACGCAGAAAATGTTCTCTCTTCCGATTGAACATGAAAAATCTTGCTTGCTCCTTGCTTCCGTCGAGATCGCTAGCCACCCATCAGCAAAACGCAAAATGGAGAAAATTTTCCTCCAAATACTCAACCGCTACCATCCCCGTGTGGCACCAGCTCCTACACCGTGGATCGTGTTTGCCATCAACGAAATGTTTTTCGTGGGCACATTGGAGGTATGTATCTACGCACAATTAAAGACCTAATTAAAATCAAAATTTATTAATGTTTATGTTTAGCTAATCGAAGTAGAACTGGCACTCAAATATGACATCGGACTTGGATCCGGGGGACTTCCTCTAGATGTCTACCGCCGGCCAATTGCCCTTGTTGTAGATGTTACGGCTTTGGAAGCTGACGATGAGCTGTCCGATTCATCGTCTGTTGAAATTGTGTCGGTGTGCGACGAAGTTATCATTGATCTGACGCTCTCGACAGATGAGGAAGTCACCTGCCGGCAGAAACGGAAACGCAAGCGAGTCAACAAGACTCGAAAACGACAAAGACTGGAAGATACGGGTTCGACTGATGATGAGCCGGAGTTTTGGATCGATTTGATGGACATGGACGATAATGAGAACTTTAATAGTGTATGTATGAGTATGGGTATTCCAGAAGAGTACCTCTAGGTATTTAGTTCCCTCCCTCTAATTTATAAGAGTAATGTTATCGCTGAGATTATAATAAATTATAAATTAAATTTTCTAGGGTGTATTGCAGCCATATGATCTGAAGTGCTCGTCCCCTATTCCCGAACATTGGTCACCACTTGAAAACGCATTCAGCATAACCAACCTACGTGTTGGTATATTCTGTCCTCGCCCATTCCGTTCTCGATTGATGAACGCTATAATGAACGCGATGGATAATATGCAAGATTGCGAACCGCATCCCCAATATAAACGTAATGGCTTTTCATTGGACACTTTGTGGTTCTTGGCCGCTAATGAATATTCGGCATTGTGGATGATTTCAACCGTCGAACAAATATCAAAGAAAAAGTATTGGCGTCGAGCCTGTCTGATAGTCGAACCATGGAGCAGTAAATTTGTCGTGAAAAATGTCCTACAGCTAACGCTTCCTTGGAAGCAATATCGGGGCAACAAAAAGGCAAAGGTGATCGAACGTCTCCGGAAAGCAAACTTGATGCACGGATCGAACCGCTGGAATCTTATCGGTTGTAAGTTAGGAAACTTGAAAATCCAAGTAACGCTGGCCGTCAACGAAGAGACGATGGATTCATTGAAGCGAACTCAGTTTTACATATTCTATGGGTTCAGTCAGTACCGCTGCCAGGTCGTAAAAACTGCATTGAAGTAACAGAAGAAGCGTAATGGGTATTCTCTTATCTTAGACTACAAGATATCTGATCCATTTTAATTAACTTTTTACAAGGTTTTAAAAACGTTGCTATTAATTAATTCCTTCAATAAATATCGTAATTTGATAGATGTTAATAATGCAAATATCCTGCCTCATACACTTAAAATAAGATACACCAGATAATCAGATCAATTAAATGAAAATGGCGTACACGAAAAAGGAATATTAATTATTAATTAAAGCAAGCAAACAATACTATGCCCTAGGCATAGGAATAAAATGCTAATTTTATTTTTGAGAATCTTTCTAAACTTTACGTGAAACTAGCGCGTGTCTAAGCTGACATTCGCTCTAGATAAAAAAAATAATTACTAACAGATTGGAAGCTCTCATTATCATTGAGGACATAACAAATTTGAATAATGTTCTTTTATTTCTTGCGTTGTAATCACCCATGTTATTGTTTGCGTTCAAACGGTATTTTCCATACAAAACAACTTTTTGTTTATGGAAAATACGGTTCGAACGAAAACAAGAATAATGGTGAATAAGTATGACAATAAACTTTCGCTAACTCAAAGGAACATTTTCATTTTTGTTAAAATCGCTTCTTCAGCGTTTCTCCCTGCACTTTGGTCAGATAGCGTATAGGGCGTCGTTGTGCCAATTTGGTCGTGGCACATTTCGAGCATGAGAGAGTGATTGCAGTTTGCTCAAAAGTGCCTGAGTAAAATCGAAGACAACATATCAAGACCTTTTTTTTTATATTTTATTTAAAGCATTCCGCTAACAACCCAATTTTATTACTTCATTATGATGACTACCAAGCCTTTGGGAATTTCCCTTATTAGAGATTCGTATCGATTTTTCTCCTTTAGTTTACTTAAATCTTTGGTTTTTTTAGTTAGGTGGATTACGCTTCTACACATTGTAGTTTCATTTTTATACCTGTAATCTTGATATATTTACCTAGGGGATGAGTACTTAAGGGGGTTAGATTTTGATAAGTTCTTTAGTGGGAATGACACTGATGAAGACTGCACATTGTAGTCGTAATACGTATCTGTCATTCACCCCTATTCTGTATTTCGTTCGAAACGAAATACAGAATAGGGGTGATTATGTGGAATTAAATGGAAGATAACCTTTTTTGCTACAATAATAATAATAATCGCTTCTTTCTTCAGCGCTTCTTTAACAACTCGTGTGATGTGACTCTCTGTGCAAATCAAATAACCGGTGGTGTAGTGGTAAGTGTGACTGCTTTCTCACCCCAATTGGTGTGGGTTCAATCCCAGCCGAGGTCGATGGGATTTTTCTGAGGCATACAAATCTCTGGTTACGTCTTTCTTCGGAAGGGAAGCAAAGCCGTTGGTAGCGGCCCATGTGTGTTGAATGGGTTCAATATCCTACGCAGGTGTGGAAGCTGCCTTCCTTGCACATTCGATTGCCGCCAATGGATGGCAATCGATGTTCGTCGGTGATTGCCACTAGATTGCGGAACAGAGACCGACGTTTAAGAAAAGAAGAAGAAGGAGAGTCACCTCACACGAGGTGACAATTGACACCTCACAGAGAGAGGAGAGCCACGTAGTTCGCAGAGTAGGGGGAAATGTATGCTGTCAGCATGTGCGCATCGCAAGCAGCACATCTGGGCACATCTTTTATCCTTAGGTTGCTGGCGGTATATGCATGTGCAGTAAAAATAATTGTAATTCATTACCAACAGAATGAACGAATGAATAACACCCGTGGGAAATGACTTTTATCTTTCTATAGTAGGCTTTTGAAAAACTTCAATGAATCCCCCTTATTCTGCGCCGCGAGTGAGGTGAGGTGAATCGCTGTCTGAGGTGAGGTGAAAAAAGTCACCGCGAGTGAGGTGACTCTCTGTGCAATTCAAATGGAAAGTAACCTCACTAGTGACACCTCAATAACACTTTGATGCATTGGAGCACACAATAGAGCTAATAAACTATAGAGGACGAATAGCGCTGCCGTCGCTGTCGAAACATCTTTTCCTTACATCTAATTATTCAACATCGGAACAAAGGGAACACCAGCGCTATTCTTCTTCTATAGTATATTAGCTCTATTGAGCACACTGTTAGTACACATTCCTGATGGCTTAGATGGCTGAACAATGGTCTAACAATACAAAAGTCATGAGTTCGATACTGTGGATAAGAGATTTTATTTTTTTTTTATGTTTTCGAGCTACCTACTGAATTTGAATTCAAGTCAACTGATAGTAATACATAATTAAATGTTTTTATAACACAAGTGAATTTGTTTTACAGTTTGGATTCGGAATTCAAACAGATATTTTGAACGTTTTAATCATTGGTTGATTGGGATGAGAATCCATTTTAGTGCAAGTGGTTTATTATGTTGATAAAACTATCCGAAGTTGGACCGTTGGACCACTGGTACACACCACGTTTCGATGGCTTCCATAAATGAGCACAGATTTCAAAATGAATTTGAAAACTTGAATGATGGTTGCTTCTACTCACTTGCTATAAAATATTGTTTTTCGGAATTATTAAATCATTAGATGTTATTTGGTAATTAGTACTTGTAAGTTACAATAACAGGTCGTGAAGCATGTGTTTGACACATAAAACCTGTCAATATTGCTTTCAGTGCGTCAAAATCAGCGATTTCACGATTCGTGAGCGCTCACTCTGAGTGAACGCTCACGAATCATAAGATCGCTGATTGTGACGCTCTGAAAGCGGAATTTACAGGTTTTATGAGTCAAACATACACTTTACACCCTCTTCTTGTTACTTGCAAGTACAACATATAATTATATCATCAAATGATTTCATAATTTTGAAAAACGATTTTTTATAGCAAGTGAGTAGAAGCAACCCTGGTAGTCCCCTTATTCTGCGCGGCGATTGAGGTGAGGTGACTCTCTCCCCCTTAAAGGGTGATACGGTCAAAATTTGGTCAATATCAACTTGACGTATTTCTTTCAATTTTGCATTTAAAAAACCTGAACACCCCTCATTTTGAAGGTGTGTGTGTGTAGAATGTTGCTCCTATTTTGATTTTGGAATTCACTCTTCAGTTGTCAAAATGCCGTCCAAGCAAGAAGAGCAGCGTATCAAAATTTTGCTCGCGCATTGCGAAAATCCGAGCTACTCGCACGCAAAGTTGGCAAAATCGCTAAAAGTTGCCAAATCAACCGTTACAAATGTAATTAAAGTGTTTGGGGAACGTTTGTCGACAGCCAGGAAGTCTGGATCGGGGGGAAATCGAAAACCGGAAGCCGCTGAGACGACAAAGAGAGTTGCCGGTAGTTTCAAGCGAAACCCTAACCTCTCTCTCCGAGATGCCGCAAATAAGCTGGGTGTATCGTCTACAACCGTGCATCGAGCCAAAAAACGAGCCGGACTATCGACTTACAAGAAGGTAGTGACTCCAAATCGCGATGATAAACAAAATACGACGGCCAAAGCGCGATCCCGGAGGCTGTACACGACGATGCTGACGAAGTTTGACTGCGTGGTAATGGACGACGAAACCTACGTCAAAGCCGACTACAAGCAGCTTCCGGGACAGGAGTTTTATACGGCAAAAGGAAGGGGAAAGGTAGCAGATGTTTTCAAGCACATGAAACTGTCAAAGTTCACAAAGAAATATCTGGTTTGGCAAGCCATCTGTACCTGTGGCTTGAAAAGCAGCATTTTCATAGCTTCCGGGACTGTCAACCAAGAAATTTACGTGAAAGAGTGTTTGAATAAACGTCTGCTGCCTTTCCTGAAGAAACACGGTTGTTCCGTACTGTTTTGGCCGGATTTGGCATCTTGCCATTACGGTAAAAAGGCCATGGAGTGGTACGCCGCCAACAACGTGCAGGTGGTTCCCAAGGACAAGAACCCTCCCAACACGCCAGAGCTCCGCCCAATTGAGAAATACTGGGCTATTGTCAAGCGGAACCTAAAGAAGACCAAAAAAACTGCTAAGGGCGAGCAGCAGTTCAAGGCAAACTGGCTTTCTGCGGCGAAGAAGGTGGACAAGGTGGCTGTACAAAATCTGATGGCAGGGGTCAAGCGTAAGGCCCGGCAATTCGGATTTGGAAAAGCGGAAGCCTAACTGAATATTTTTCCTGAATTTTATACTAATTGAACTTGAAAAAGAAATTTAATTTGATTTTTTAAATAAACGATTTCACCGATTTACACGCGTTTTCCCTTGACCAAATTTTGACCGTATCACCCTTTATTCTGCGAGTCACGTGACTCTCTGTCACCGGTGAGGTGACAATTGTCACCTCGTGTGAGGTGACTCTCCATGTAAATCAAATGGAGAGTCACCTCACACGAGGTGACTATTGTCACCTCACCGGTGAGAGAGAGTCACGTGACTCGCAGAATAAGGGGGTCTGTCACTAGTAAGGTGACGGTCCGTTTCCGTGTCCATGGAGGGTCATCTCACTCGCGGTGCAGAATAAGGGGGAATATTAGCATAGAGGTAACTCTAAGACTAGTAGGTCCCGAAGAAATGTGCTCAGCTCTGGTACTATCTTCGGTCCCAAGCTAATCGATACACCCCTCGAAACATAGGAAAATCAACGAACCCCTCAGTTTATCTGTCAAACTTTCATGGCGAATCTAGAGTCGGTGTATAATGAGTCCATTACGATGCTATGAAAGGTCTACGAAAGGTATTGCAATGAAATATAAAATAAAATTGAAGAAATCATCATAAACACGCAGTGAGCATTAAATGGTCCTGGGATACCTTTGGTTTTGATCAGTAATGAGAATTTCTACTATTTTTTGATAAGATAATTTGACAAAATCACTGATATTATGATTCACTACAGCCCTTATTTTTGGTTCTCGCTAGAAGTCATTTAAAGTCGATGTAGAAGTCCTCTGTTGCCAAGTGAAAAGAAAGGGAATCCTTCGGAAACCGTGATGCGAGTTCAACTGTTTTTCTCTTGGCGTGACTCATTATACACCGACTCTAGGCGAATCAAAACAAACATAGTGTAGTACTAGAATTTCAACTAGAATGGAGTACGTTAATCGATTTGCTTGGGACCAATAGACTAGTCAAGTAGTGAGCCAATTTAAAATCGTTAGTTTCGTATTGATTGTTCCCGCAGAAAAATTTATCGTTGAAACAAAAATATTTGAGGTAAATTTAAACGTAAACTCAG